TATAGTCGGCATATCTTGCGAAGAGGCAATTATTTCATATATTCAATCTTCCTTTTCTTCGTAACCAAACCGACAAGAAGTAAAAAAGGCTGTAGAAAAAAAACGTTTTTGAGTTCTAACAATTTCAAAAGGAAAACCGATTCATAGTGAGTTCTTAGCAAAGTAATGAATTTACAAAAGTAAACTTTGCTCATTCAAGAATTCAACGAATAATACATATAAGCAAAAGAAGAACACGATGTGAGAATTGAAAGGAGCTGTCGGAGGCGGTCGAGGACAGCAGACGAACAGCTGATGTCGCTCTCCCCCGCATTCGGCACGGAACGCCACATAGCACCGTGCGCAATGTGCGCTCTGGCATTCCGGGGGTTGCGTTGACGTTATTGTGGAACAAGGTTTCGTGTGACTCACATACTGTTATGAACGTCTCGATGTTCATGGAAACCACACAACTCTGCGAATCAACCGGATTATTTAATAAACTTCCCACTTTGCCTGCGAGATGGTCGTAATTTTTTACAGGCCGAATGTCAGGCAGCAGACGCTGTCACAAGCTGTAAGGCTTAAAACCATTCATTCAAACAAATCTTGAACATCTGGTGTACTTGCTCCGATATTCAAATAGATCTGTATTGGGGAAACTAACTGATTTAGAGAAAGTGGAACATACAATCCTCAACCATTTCCAATAATATCTCGTCACCTTTTCATGGTGAAAGTTTTTCCTTCTCTCGGTGCTAAGTAAATTCCAGGCCTGACAAGCTCACGTATCCCAACATCTGGTGCGAGTAGAGAGCAAAGCAAACATACTTTCATAAGTTTTGGGCTCTTGTTACCTTTGTCTTGCTTACACAATCAAAAAGGTAGATTTTATTGTTGAAACTAAATAAGAATTTGTCTGTATGAATGAATGTACCGAGTGATGACATAGATGGCATAAAGAGAATGATTAGCCGTAAATCACTGAACGATGATTTTGTATTCTGTAGAACTTTTAAAAAAATATTCTTTTTGCTTGAAATATGCTTTCAAATTATTTAAACAATCGAGAGTTTTTTCCTACTTGAAAGTTGGCCTACTATGTATTTTCCAGTTTGACCACTTAGTTTTCAATCTCTCTTTTTACTAAATAAAGGAAGGAGGCAGCTTTTCATAGATATGTAGAGTCAAATTTTGTCATGCACAGTTTCAAGTCGAAAAAATTTTGGTGTCGGGAGGATTTGTGGATCTTTGCATATGTTTTTAATTTAAGTGCTCTTATCTTTTTTGAACGCCAGGCGCTATGAGCTTGGAAGAAAAGTGCCGTCTAAAATTTAGAGATGAACATATGGAAGCAAGTTTGGAATGAAGTGCATAGATGGATGCTACTGAATAGGGAAAAAAGTAAAAAACTGTTCGAAAAAAAATTGAAAAGAATCAATAGCATCAGCATGTGGACGTTGCGAAGGATATTAAAACCAGAACGATGGGACTAGTTAGAGATTTATTTTGTTAGATTCTCTGTGCCATATGTCTGTAATTGCCGTGATGCATCAGGCAAATTGATTTCGCATTTCCAAACGATTTTAAATTGAAATTGGCATGCATGTGTAGC